CTTCTCCTTCTCCTTCTCCTTCTCCTTCTCCTTCTCCTTCTTCTTCTTCTTTTCCTTCTTCTTCTCCTTCTCCTTCTCCTTCTCCTTCTCCTTCTCCATCTTCTTCTTCTTCACCTTCTTCTTCTCCTCCTCCTTCTTCTTCTTCTTCTTCTTTTGCTCCCCATCCTTCTTGTTCCCTCACTCCCTCTTCTCGCTCCAATCACTTTGTGTCAAGGAAATTCGGTGGTGATTTCTCTCAGTATGTAATCGGTTTTATATGTTGTACAGTTGCTTGTATATGTACAGTAGATAGATAGATAGATAGATAGATAGATAGATAGATAGATAGATAGATAGATAGAAAAAGAAAAAGAAGAAAAAGAAGAAGAAGAAAAAGAAGAAGACACAGAGAGAGAGAGAGAGAGAGAGAGAGAGAGAGAGAGAGAGAGAGAGAGAGAGAGAGAGAGAGAGAGAGAGAGAGAAGTAGAAAAAGAAGAAAAGAGAGAGAAAAGAAGAAGAAGAAAAAAAGAGAGAAAGAGTAAAAAGAAAGAAAAAGAGATAAGTGTGCAGACAAAAACGGCGTCTCCAATCCTCCAGTGTAATAATTCTTGTGGTGGGGAGATCTGCCCAGGGCGGGAGCAGCATGAAAGCCGACATAATGAAACGAGAATGGGCAAGCGAAATCTGTCTGATGACTTTCGGTTATGAATAGAGTGGGGAGATCGCTCTCGGCGCTGTGTCTGTGTGAGACGTACACGCGCTAGAGATGCTGTGAGGTAATGAGGAATATTTGAGGTAAAAAGGAGTGTTCACCCCTTCGCTACAGCTGTGTGTTGGTGAAAAGGATATTGTAGGCACGATCAGTAAGGGGTTAACATTAAAGAATAGGTTGTGTCACTTTATTTTATTCATTCATTCATTCATTCATTCATTCATTCATTCATTCATTCATTCATGTACCAATTTATTTATTTACCTTTTTTAAAATTTATATATTTATCTTTTTGGGGGAGTGTGTGTTTCATAGATTCAGCAGACAAGCTGAAGATACATGTACAAGTATTGAACGTTTTCACGTTCTTGTCGGTGATTACTGGAGTTTCTTCTTGTGGTATGTCACTTTTGATGCCCAGCCTTCCTGAAAACCCCTCTAAAAGCAGTTATTTCTTTAGCCTTGCGTCCAGCCTCGAATTTGTCACCAGTCGCAGAGAACTCCTGTCTCCTTCATTTTTTGGGGGGCTTTCTTTAATTGATTCGTTTCCGGAAACTTTGAAATTTAAAATAAAATTTTAAATACCAGGAAAAAATAGAAAATGTTCCCGGACTGCTGCATTTAGACTTCAAAATAACCAGCCGTCAATATGTGATTGAAGCACCTATCCGAGTTGGGAAGAGAGAGAGAGAGAGAGAGAGAGAGAGAGAGAGAGAGAAAGGAAGTGTCCAAACAGAAGACCGGGAACGTGGTGGGGGAAGGTGTGTTAATACATTGCCTATAGTTGAAATTATGAAGGGTCAACGGTTACCGACATCTGTGGTGTTACGGTTATGTGCTTCGCTGTCACACGCAGGAGACCCGAGTTCGATTCCCGAATGGGGAGAATTTTATCGAGTATCTCGGTCTTCAAGCTGGGATGGAATGTTGTTTCTCTCGCAACCCGAGTTCGCCATGATAGGCAGGGTCGGAAGCCCGCCTCCGAAATAATTTAAATTGGGTCGAAAGGGAAAGGGGGAGGGCGTAAAAAAAACACCTAGATCTACATTTTAAAAATGATGAACTATATTTTGAGTTTAACTCGTATACTGACAGACCTGCAGTCGGGTCATTCACAAACAGTGTTTGCAAGGTATACAAAACGGAAACAAGTACAAGTCGTTATATATTTGATCATCAGGTGATGCCTACAACGGCATCATGCACGTTCAACCTATTTTCTCACCCAACCGTCCCATACTTTTATATAACGATATTAACATTTAGTATAAAAAGTTCAAGGCCTGTCATTATAACACTAAATTATTATCGTTATGTCCTCTCAGCGTTATGAAATTGCGATGTCACCGCCTTCGTGGTTCTAAAGCAAACGAAAAGAGAAAAGGGCTATTACAAGTATTTAAAAAGACGTTCTCTATCAATGTGTCCTCTGGGACAAGCACATTATGTTCCTGGCATTGATGAACTGCGGAGCCTAAAGTAGTTCCCGCCACCTCATTACGGCAAATGCTTTTAGTAGACGCAATTCCGTGCTCTGACAGTAGTTGTGTTCAGTAACCACAATGCACTTTGAATGTAGTAGTTTCGAGTCATTATGGCGACTGTGATATGATGTTCTCAAATTTTTTGAAAGGGTGGGAGGCCCATGGGGGGAGGGGGGCAAAAATCGTTTGATTGCAGCAATTCAAATGGTAGTGGATTGTTGTTTCAAGTTTCTTTTCTTTTGTGGTAAACATTTTAATAGTGATATTGAATAGCTATGCGCCTGTGTTTATACGTATGCAAGAGTGTAGAGCAGTGTGATTTGGGTAATCTTTGTTGTGGGCCTGTGTGTATCACCCGGGTAGTGACAGGTATGATTTAATAATGGCCCAACATGTAGGTGGGCGGTATGGAAACCTTTGCCTCTTTTAAATGTAGTAAAAGTGGGCGCTGGCTTCGAAAAGGTTGACAAGCTCTGGTGTAGGCAAAGATTCTTTAATACTACTTAATTAGTACTAAAGAATCTTTGGTGGAAAGAAGGCATTTTCTTTTTAAGGCAAATGAATGCCTTAATTTAGCGTTTTGGGTTCTCCCGCTTGCGAGTTTCTCCAGTCTAGTTATCAAGTTTCTTCCCGCCAACTATAAGAAACGTTGCAAAAATTCTCTTAGAAAGTAAAGGTTTGTTATCGGGATCCTCATAATATGTCTTCATAATGGAAATACTGTTTTGTTGTTGCATTTCATGCTGCTGCTGCTTTTGTTGTTTTTCTTCCTGCACTTGTTCCTGAATTGGTCAAAATTTAATATTATGTTCTTCAACAATATGCAAAAGCGTTGTTTTGCAACGTGCAAAACCCGATCCTTAAAATATAAAGGAATCTGAAAATAATACCATGCAGCAAAGAAAACTGAAAAAATCCTTTATCCAGAGACACATTAATTTGTTCCACGTAGGCGATAGACTGCTTCGGTATCCTTCTCATATAATTCCTCGTAATTGTTACCTCTTTTTCGCTCAACACCTTACCGAACTTCATTAATAATGTATTACTGATCTGACATTCATTTTCTAAACGAAAATTATATTTGCGCTATATTTCCCCTCAGAGCGGTGCATTTGATACCCGTAAATGTGATTTAGACGGTGATTATATTCGAGGTTGGCGGTTTGTTACCGATGCGGTGGCATTTCAGTCTCTCGTTAAAATGATAGCGCTTGTGCTATTAAGAAAAGAAGATTTAAAAAACAAAAAACAAACAAACAAAAAACTCCCCAAAACAAAAAGAAAAAACCCATAGATTTTTTTTTCTCTTTTTCTTTCCTTTTTCCTTAAAAAAAAAAAACACAAAAAAACCCCATAGATTTGCTTCATCCTCCACGAACTGGTCTCTGTGATGTAGCAGCTAAGCGCTTTCCTTTCGCACACAGGGGACCCGGGTTCGTTTCCCTTAAAAAAAAGGGGGGGGGCGATATTTTCAGTCGAGTATCTAACTTTCTGCCTGAATGTTTAATCTCTCTCAGTCAGAGTTGGCCCTGACAGGCTGAGTTGGAGGCCCGCCTCCTCAATTATCTAGATAAATTGTGTCAATGGGGATGTAAAAACACCTACATTCAAAAACATCCCCAAGAAACGTTTGCGGACACAAGAGATCCTCATGTAACTTTACCATCACAAAATAATTGAGCTGACTGAATCTTAACGTTAGCGGACAGCTGCGTACAGAAAGAACTCGATCCTGACAGGTAGGGTGGAAGCCTGCCTCTTAAATGATCTAAATTATATCGAAGGCAGCAGAAACACACCTACATTGATATAGGACGAACTGTTCCCACCATCATTTACGCAGTAGGAAAATCCGTCTCCCCCACGGCTTAAGTTTCCATAAGGATTGCGTTTATAATATTTATTTTTTTCTGCTCCATTCAAGACTCAGTGCAGGATTCTTCTGCCTTGACACCCCCACCCCTCCCCCCACCCCCCGTTTTTGCAAAAGCTGTTTCGTAGCAAGAGTTAAAAGAATAAGTTCGCTGATGTGTGTAACAGCATATAACCTACATTACCACACCACTGATAGCAAAAATAATTCCTATTTTAGCATTCCTATCAGCTTGATGACTTTGTGCTGGTCACTAAGGACATTTTCTTTGAGAGGCTAAATCTTTACATACAAAAGCAGTCGTAGCAAGCGGATTATTTCATGGTGGAGTTCTACGTTAAAAAGCTGACATTCCATTGTTGTTCTAAGTTTATTGACATGTTCTTTTTAGGTCAACTAAGACTGCTTCTTCTACTTGTAGATACAATAGCAGTATACGATCTAAATGTTCCAATTACCCCCCCCCTCTCGTCTACACACACACACACACACACACACACACACACACACACACACACACACACACACTCACACACACATACACATACCCAAATACACACTTACATACACACACAGAGACTTTTGTGTAAAAATGCGGCTTTCATAGTAATCTTGTCCAGTGCATTAATTTTGTTAGGTTTTCTCAGTACTAGTAAATCATTTTTGCTTTTATTTGGGACTTTTAATCAAGATTTATGTTCGCGGCGATCTATCAGTTTGCATAATGCTGGACTACTGTGCGGAAGATCTTGGTTCAAATCCCCAGTGAAGAGTTCTAAAACTTGCATCATTTAGGGAGTTTTCAAAGGTCTCCACTCTCGTTGTTTGGTCCTATCGGAGACTGTCGCTAGATTCCTAGGTTGTGTCTTTTGAACAAAATATTCATACGGGCTTTCAAGCTATACCCATCCCAACACCATAACGAATTTTTAAACATACATATTTGAGTTGAAGAAAACTTTTTATATATTATTTTTTATTTAAGTTAATCATTTAACGTTTTGCTTCTCCTCTAGCAATGTCATTGGTGACTTACACCCATAGTTCCCCTGCTGGGTTGGCTACTGTCTTAAGTTATTGTAATAGTTCTAAATTTAGCAAATATTTGATTTCGAATGTGAACACTAATCTAATAGAGAAAAAACAACAAAAAAGGAAAACAACATGAAACAAATCCCAGTTCTTTTAAACGTGACAATGTAACGTACTTTGTAATTTCATCTGTCTCTGGATTTTTTTTTACAATAAATGTATTTTATATTGTAACACTTCTGGAACTTTATGTTAACCTCAACTTCCAAGATCAAGAACACAGTCTATATTTACCCATTTTGCAAGAAGATAGTGCCTTGAAAAGAAATCAATCTACATTTCATTTAATCTTTTAAAATAATAAACTATACTAGATCTATGTCTCTTCTTTGTCTTTAAACAAATAAGAATCGTGACGTTATGTAGGCCACCGGATTCATCCATCGAGTCGCATAATATTTCCAGTGACATCCTGCCTCTTTCTATCCCAGTTACAAGTCGGTTAACCCATCACAGTTTGCCCTTCGACCTATCACAAACCAGTCTCTCAAAGCCCGGATACTCTTTTGTGCCCTAAAATGCCTCGAGTAGTCGACCTTGGTATTTAGATTGGGCGTGCCTTCTATTTCCCCCTGCCGGTGATTTCTAATTTAGTTTCACTACCACCG